GTTACCTTGTTTCGTTTTGTTGCTGTGTGTACATCTGACTACACTTCTTAAAGGGGCACTGATCTAACGCAATTCCCCGGGACTGGTTGTTGCCTTTGTTATTGTTTTTTCCCAGTGAGTACCCGGATGTATAGCAGAAATCTAGACTAGTTCGCGACCTCTGCTGCGCCATTCGTAAGCGCATTAGTCACTTTTATGGGTAGTAATAAGGGCGTATGGTCACATTGATCAACAAAATGAAATACAGTTTTCGAGATAATAAAGAAATGTAGGTATCTTTGTGAGTAGCATCGGTAATGGTGACGAAGTTTTGATAAGTCAATTGCTTGGTAATTTTGCGATTTTCGTTTACACTATTTTGACTTGCAACACAAAGTAAATATTTCACCTGAGCATATGCTTTTTTTTATAGTGTGTATATTTTTTTATTGTCAAATGTGTCACAAATTTATTAAACGTCTAAATATTCAGTTATTTTACAAAGTGACTGAAAAACATTTCCATCTGTATTATTATGACAACGAATTCCAAACATTTTGATGTTTAATGTCATCACCAAGAGACTGAAAATGTTACGTTGAAAAGTACATCTCTAAGTTGTTTGGCTTTTAATCCTACATAATAATCTGTTGTGATGTTTGTAGGCCCTTTTGATCGTCTTGATCAATCTGGACAGATTTTTTAGTCAAAATGACTGAAATATTTACACATTTTATAAATTGCCTGAGAGAATCACATTTTACAAATTGACGGTAATATATACACGCTTTTGACCTGTGACAACAACGTCTATCGCGCATTGAAGAATTTCCCAACCAAGACGTAGAGAAACAAAAACGAATCGGTTCAAATGAAGGAAAACAAAATATAAATATCATAATTACAACCTACCAAATTTATGTGTATAAGTTTTTGGCAGCTTCCTTGTTCGAGGAATGTATCCGTGAATATCCACACAAAAGAAAAATATCCCACTCGTCTGCAGCTGTACAAAGAAACTTATTCGATGTCACGTGTCAAATATTTTAAAAGATATATATCGTTTCGGGATATTATAACCCGTGTTCGTTTTTATCAACTGATCGCTTGGATTATTTCAGGTGTTTTACATAGGTGTCAAGTCTCAATGGTCGGCTGAGAAAGCCCACGTGACAACTATTTTCATAACGTCCACGGTTCCTAAAAATTCCATTGAGTGATAGATAACAATGATCAATCAATCAACGTATTATCAGTTAACCCTTTGAACAAAGTATGTTGTTTTTACATCGGCACTTCGCGCCATGATATGAGTGTATTCCCTTTGTTTTAGTAAACCTAGACATGTAAACACCCACTCTTGACATATCCACTGCGCAAGATAACAGTGATTAATCAATCAACGTATTTTCTGTTAATCCTTTGATGACTAGGAACGATCCGTTGATTTACAAAAAAAATCAACTGATCATTCATCTCTTGCTGGGCTGCCACGTGCATATTACATAACACACATTTCACCTCACTTCAAACATGGATTTAGATTGAATAATTACCCCAGACACAATAAATGCCAAATGGGAATCTTTGTCAGGTAATCTAAGTGGTGCTACCACTAATTGTACCTGTAATAAATTCATTAACTGAGCATCAAGTGAATGACGACAAATACACAAGTGTAGGGTTATACGAGAAAACGTGGATGACAACAAGGGAGTAGTAATCGTATTATCGACGCAAGCCGAAATCCGAAAATGCTTTCACTGCATGGATACTTTTTTTTAGTATTAAACTATAACCATCTTGGGTATTTCCAAATGACGACATCCCATGAGCTCCCTTGTTCTTTTTGTCTGTTTGTTTAGGCTGAAGAAATGAATTAACATGCGCCCCTTGTCGAAATCTTTATAGATCACAGTTAACCAATCAGTGTTCAAAAATGCGTAAAACAAATATTGCCTCCAGCCTCCAAGTTTATTTAGCTGTCCTTGCAGACGGTACCCCAGTCTCTGGTCACGCTCAGTTGCGTTGCGTATCATCCGGGTACTCACGGGGGAAAAACAATAACAAAGGCAACAACCAGTCCGTTAGATCAGTGCCCCTTTAACGTTATGACCAATCTCATTAAAATCAGACCAAAACAAAGCGGTAGCGAGAACTAAGGTCTGATTTTAATGAGATTGCGTTATGACAGGACAGACCGACTGTCAAAAGCGTCTGGACGTGGCCCAAGCTCCTCACAGCGATAGTAGGTTCCCGGAGCTCTCTATACTATATGTTACCGAGAGTGTAACGAAGGTGTCACGCGCTGGGAAGGAGCTTGGCCGTGGCCGTGACGTCTCATAGGTTAGAGTAGCTTCCCTTTGACAAAGGGCAGTTACTCTAGCGGACAGACCAATGGATTGCCGCGAAAGGAAAATAAAAACTATTGTTGTTTTGCGTATATGTTGCTTCGCCACTGTATAAGAAACAGATTTCAGTTGGAACTATATTCGCTACTGTCACTGTCCGACTGACACATCACTTACCATGTGACGTAATAAATATTAATGCGCGCATTCCAGGAAAACTCGCAATGATTTGGTTATGTATGTGAGAGAGGGAAAGCGATTTTGAAGCACAGAATTAAAGAATGACACTATATCATAAAGAGGTTATCACGCTTGTGTGTTTTGCTCGCTAAATACAATATTTATTCCTAATGCAGGATATTTACCATCCCCAAACACACCCGCGTGATAACCTCTATATATGAAATGCTGGACTTCCTCATTGATAATATCCACGTAAAAATTGGGGGTAAGAATAAATAGGCATCCCTATGGGCACCAATTGTGCTCCCCTTCTTGCGGATATGTTTCTTTTTGCATATGAATCGGAATTTCATCTCGGATTGTCAAAGTCAAAACAAAGGTAATATGGCTAAGAAGTTTAATTTAAGCTTCAGGTATTTCGATGTTCTGATATCGTTTAATAAACAATCAAAAAGCCAATTCCCTTCCACTGATTTAGCCACCTGAACTAGAAATAAAGGAGACCAGTGAGACCGCCACATCTGTTTCATATACAGATCTATGTATAAAGATTCAAAGTGGCAAAACACTCTCCACAAGACAAGAGTTAAAGCAGCCATACACATGCACGCACGCACGCACGCACGCACGCACGCACGCACGCACGCACGCACGCACGCGTATTGCACTGTGAACATTTCTCCCATTTCTCATCTGGTAGATGGGTACATACATGTTAGGATGAGAGTTGTAAGTTGCGTTGATAAAACGATAAGCCACAAAATAACTACATGACTACATGTATTTGTTTTCTACATAAATGCTTAATTCTCATTTTACAGAAATGATTTCAATTTTATCTCTTTCTTTATTCTTTCCTAAAGTCTAAATTTGTCCTGAAGCATGTACATACACCATGAACTATTTAGACATATACTAAGGTTGGATTCACAATACGACTGTAGCAAAACGAAAATTGTTTTTCTACATATCCCATTATGACGAAAACCATGATTCGATAATCCTGACATTGAACTGGGAAGAGTACCTACTGAAAGACGGTACGTTACTGTATTACAGTCGGGTTAAATCTCATAAACAGGGATGTTGTCACGTCCCGGGATTTTATAGGATATTCCAGGCAGATTTGCTATATCATGTATTATACCCCGGTATTTTATTAACACAACTTCCGTTCAGATTGTAACATGTAATATTAAATCAAATGACAAATGTTTTCTGTATAATCCCGAGGATCGAACACACTACCTTCGTATCTGTAGCCCTTTGAGTTTACAACTAGACTACAGAGACGCTGATAATTCTAAATACTTTTTAGAATGTCTTTTTCAAGAACCGTACGCCAGCAAGAGATGTTTTAGCCCGTTTCCTAATGTTCATGGAAGGTATGTTTGAAACATAAAAATGTTGATAAATTTTGTTTTAAGTTTCTTTTTTCGGTTTATATGTTAGATAAAACACTTCCCCTCGGGTTTTTATGTGATGTCCCTCGGTTTTATCTCGCGGATGTGGGGTTTAAATATCATAAAAACCCTCGGGTGGGCTTTATCCTACACACACATTCGATCATAATGAACATAACACTATATCAAAGGCATAATTATTGAAAGGCACAGGAAGAGATTTGAATATAGTCAACATTCCTTAGACCGGACCTTGCATTGGTGTTTCGATATTTTAAGAGCGATTCATTCAACTTCGCCGATTTTTGATTGCTGTCACGTCATCATTTTGTGGGCCCATATGTATTCACTGATAGTGAACCACAGTCACGTAACTCAGCTCTGGCAGATGGCGTTTTCAATAGTCCTACATCTGGAACTGAAATATCTCTGCGTATTTAGGCTAACATTATAATATTTAACCGCTAGATACACAACATAAGATTACATTTAGACATACAAAGGTTTGAAGAACTTCTTTCAAACTGCTCGCTAGAGTGGCTATTTCCCCCAACCTTCGTGCCCCTTTAAAAAACCCGTACAGGTATGATTCCCAATTACGTAAATTTTGTTTATAAAATACCGTATTTATCTGAAATATAATAACCATATTTCACTCTGGTGAAATAACATGAAAAGACAAATGCCTTTCGTGATTTTGTCAAATTTTATTCTTTAGCTTCTTTCTGTAGTTCTCCACGTGTGTACAAACTGTTCAGGCCATTTCGGGTGTTCCCCGCCGTAATATTACTGGAATATTGCTAAAGTGGCGAAAAGCCATACACGCTGATCTTTCTATCGTTTCCGCGCATTTTGTACAGGATATTTTTGCTCTATAATCTATGCAACAATAACTTCACCGTGTCGGCGACAGAATATTTCCAAAATTATCAAAAAAAACAACTTTGTAATTTATTCAACGAAACAACGTCCTTGATATATATTTAAAAAATCATGTTTTTCAGTGAGGAATCGATCCAGAATATATATCATCTCTTCAGCAACATCAAATAAATCACCAAGGCCGGAAGTACTACATAGTTACATGCCCTTAGTTTACAATCATGGCGTTCACGTTTGCTGCGTTTTGCTACATAGCCGCTCTTATTTTTACTGCTGTGCTTATATTCTTCGTAATATTTCACGTAAGACTTACATGTTTACAAGTGTACATCTTATATTTGTAAACCATACGATACCGACATGATAAACATGTGTAGTCATTCATTAACACCGGTATTCTTTATGACAATGTGAACACCGGCCTCATTTCGTTCAATGATTCACAATCACATTGTCATGGGCGTATGTATGTCACGTCCCGTTGGCATCTTTACTAAATATTCATCATTAAGCATAACATTTATCTCCCCAATAACCATGTCTTTTTTATTTGGAAACCAGAGATATTGGTTTGGTGCGGGGTGGAATTGGCTGTGTACATGGTGTAATTTGTATGAAGTCCAGGTTATTTCTATCATAACGAATGCGGATATTACAAGTAATCCGAATGAGCGATCCACTTTGATGAATTCCAGTTTTATTTCGTGGATAATATTCCATTTAAGTGGAGAACAAAGTAATCTATGGCAAACAGAAATATCAGCTAAAACTGACCATAACATGGTTGTCTATGACCATGATGACCATGACAACTATTCAAATTCCATTCCAGTGATAAGTTGCTAATTCGGCTATTTTCATGTAACAACTAAAGATTTGAATACTTACAGGCATTTGTGATGGTCTGTATGTGTATCCTTGATAATAACAACATGCAGAATGTAATGACATGTTGAAATGTACTGGACATCTATTGATCACCATTCCCCATCCAAATTTGATACATTACAGATACATTTTTACATTGTGTTCTATAAACAACATCCATGCATAATTAAAATGGATTTCTGTGATTATTGAATTCTGAGAACTGATGTATGAATTCCCTGGGCTCCTACGAGATTCTGTGGCTATACTAATGAGATCTAGTGGTCAGTATGTAAGACTGGCTAATGTGTGTCATTGTGGCCAGATAGTGTGAATAGTTGCTCATGCTATCAACATGGCTACAATTGGTTGCCTGGCCCAGACACTATTCTATACATGATGTCGCCACTGGGATATTGCTTGAAAAGGAATATTGCTGTGTTGTGTGCTGGATAAAAATATCATTCATTCTTTGTAGATCCCTTGAAGTTTTTTAAAGTAATCATGGTAATATGACTTAATATTGCTTAACTTGACAAGTGTTGAATATTCACATGTTCGATCATGTATAATATATCATTGCTTACCAAGGTTAAAATCTGTTTTTGAAAGCTTAAATAAACTTGTGAAAAATACATATATGAGTATTCAAAGTTAACTAGTTAGAGTGTTTTTCGGGGGTTGGGGGCACGGGTGGGGCCGGTCGTCTAGGGCGCAGTGATTCGCTGAGTTGTGTCCCTTTGGCATGCCAGAAACCTATGATTGTGGGTTCCAATCCCGGTTCGCCCCAATTATGTTTCTAGGTTTGTCAGCACCATACCCATGCTCGTGGGTTTCACCGAAGTGGTAAACATCCGAGACCTGCATCACTACAGACTTTCCTCCCACATTAAGCTGACTTGCCGTGATATAACGTGAATACTGTTAAAAGCGGTGTTAAACCCAACTCACTCACTCACTATATTGGGGTCAAATGATTTTTTTCCACACACATTCTCACACACCTTGATAATCAATGATGTGACTGAAATACTCTTCCAAGAAACGTTAAAACCAACTCACTAACTTACTCTTAATGTCTCTCCATAGGATATTGCTGAAACCTTTCTAATTAAAATCAGCATCAAATTTCATTCACACTCATTCCTGCTATAAGTGTGTTCGTATTTATTAAAAAAAATTCAGTGAGCAAGACATTTTGTTCTCTTAGGATGACTAACATTCTTGATTGATTTTATTTCAGATAATTGCATTTGACGAGTTGAAAACAGACTACAAGAATCCCATAGATCAGTGTAACAGTTTGAATCCAGTATGTATTTCTGATATCTGATCTTATAGTATTTTATACCGTGGTATGTGCACATGGTGCATGCATGAGGATTTTGATATATGTTGTATATAGAGATAAACAACCAGATTATACAAGCATGTGTGTCATACTGATTTTAGGAAATGAGTGTCAGAATCGTTGTATTTCTCGAGTGAGAGCAAGGGTAATACATGAATTTGGTTTTGTAAAATCAGTATGATACACATGCGAGTGTAACAATTTCTTCATTACACATTATTTCTTAATTGTTTTAATTGAGCTCCCCTTTTGCATGTTTTGCATGTTTGGTTTAATGCAATGATCACGACCCCTGTCTTAGAAAACCACAATTGTCTGATGATGTCAACAATCTTCAGGTATGACATCGTTTCTTGTGTGATATCATTCTGACTTTCTTCTCAATATGTTTCAATTGACGTCAACAATGCCATCCAGATGATGTAAATAATAAACTTGTGATCGTGAAGTGAATTTTGCAAGAGTACACCATGTACACATTATTTTATAAACTTGGTTATTTCAAACCCTATGGGTAATAAATATGTTCATGTATTAGGTTCAACAATTAAATGTAATATTCGGATAAGATCCAATTAATAGCTCTAATTTTGTGTGTATCTGTACCATGTGTGAAAAGGTATACAATGGTATATACTTGCTAATGATACCTGTAGACATGGTGGAGACTGAGCGGTTCTTTTCCATATAATAAATACATGGCATGTCAATTATCAAAATGGTCAATGTCTTTAGTGATTGCAATATATTTTAATGTTTTCTGGGCCCGTAAAGATGCGGGGTAGAATAGGTCTTCAGCAACCCATGCTTGCCATAAAAGGCGACTATGCTTGTCATAAGAGGCGACTAACGGGATTGGGTGGTCAGGCTCCCTGACTTGGTTGATGCATGTCATCGATCCCAATTGTGTGAATCGATGCTCATGATGTCAATCACTGGATTGTCTGGTCCAGACTTCTTATTTACAGACCGCCGTCATAAAGCTGGAATATTGCTGAGTGCGGCGTTAAACAACAAACAAACAGACTATGCTTTCTGTAGAGATCAGAAACAGCTAATTGAATTGATATTTTCTTTTCACTGACCATACAATAAACATAACAAGTCAATTCAGAATTTCACTTTGAAAAGCCTTGTCCTGAATATCTATAGAAAACTTGATATTGTTTTCATTTCTTTCCAGCTTGTGTTACCTGAATATGCAATACAGATTCTGTACACAGTGCTGTTTGTATTTGCCTGGCAGCTGGGATCGGTTCTCTTCAACCTGCCTTTGTTAGTCTATCATGTCAGAAGGTACGTCACAAGTAATTCCACCGGTTTTAAAATGTCAAGAGAATTAGTTCAAAAACTTCAGGGAAACAGTCATGGAGTATGTTATGGATATTGCAGTCTGTGCATTTTGACAGGGTTTGAAAAAACATTTATCCGCGACAAATAACATTCAGGATAGATTATGTATCTGTGTGGAGTGCCACCTTCACCGTTTAGTTGATGGTACTTCTGTGGCAGATCATTTTCATGGACTGGTGAGCATGGTGAGGATAAAACGAAATTCTAATCCCGAGGTTGTCACATTGTTATTTTTTTTCTATTGGATCATTTCAGTAGATGTAGAACCTGTGGTCCATTATGAATATGAGAATGATCTTGTTAAGAGCTTTTTTTCATTTTTATTTTACTTTACTAAGGTTACTAAAAAATAATAGTCTTGGTTCTCAGACACCACCCTTATCATCATAAAGTTTGCCGTATGTTTCGTTTTTTTATTTTCATTTTTTTAAAAACAGAAAACAAAAAAATCCTTAAATATTCAGTAGTCTAACAGTAGGCAAATACTGTATTCTAGTTTTTTGCTCATCAAGGAATACATTTATTATGTAGAGAGGCCCTTTCTCAGATTGATTGTACACAAGTGTTGTTTTGCTAAACAACTGTTTATTTGACATACTAGTTTGAACAACCAAAAAAGGAAAAAAACACCACCCGCCCGCACTATATTTTCAAAAGCCATTGCCTGAGAACCAATCTTTTTCTTAAGCCTTATGTAACCATGTTAACTGTCAAAACTGTCGATCAATTTGAGTTATTGGAACGTTACTAGTACATGTATATAGTGACTGTCTGTGAGTAGAGGGAATAGAGTTCTATTATGATTGCAGGTACCTTCATGACGCCATATCTAGGCTGTGAAATGATGAGTGATGTCTGATTGTTTCCTTTCATTGCCAGATACATGAACAGGCCTGTGATGAGCTCCCCCGGGCTGTATGACCCCACAACAATAATGAATGCAGACGAACTAAATCGAGCACAGCGAGAGGGCTGGGTGAAACTGGCATTTTACCTCATATCATTCTTCTATTACCTTTACAGGTAAGACAAGTTCATCATGTTTAGTAGCTCGCCCACTCACTCACTCACTCACTCATCATGTTTAGTAGCTCACTCACTCATCATGTTTAGTAGCTCACTCACTCACTCATGTTTAGTAGCCCTTCCTATAGCATTCCTATTGGATATGTATATGGAAGCCATCTATGCTTGTCGTAAGAGGCAACTCAGTTGGATGAGGCTCTAAGACTACTAATCAGGGCCCTGTTCCACAAAGCGACCTTAGTGCTAAGTTGGTCGTAACTCCCATACTTTACCATAGGTTTACGATCAACGTAGCACTAAGATCGCCTTGTGGAACAGGGCACACGGCCCCATTCCACAAAGTTATGTTAATGCTAAGATTATATGGGAGTTAAGATTGTCTTAGCACTAAGACTATGAAACTGGAACAGGGTCATGATTGCATGTTTTCCTACCATGACAGTCTAGGAGTGAGTGAGTGAGTATGCTTTTATACCGCTTTTAGCAGTATTCCAGCAATATCACAGCGGGGTACACCAGAAACGGGCTTCACACATTGTACCCATGTCGGGAATCGAACCCGGGTCTTCGGCGTGACGAGCGAACGCTTTAACCACTAAGCTACCCAACCGCCCCTGACAGTGTTGGACATTGCATATTCACTCACTCACATGACCTGTGAAGATCCGGGGTAGAATAGGTCTTCAGCAACACATTCTTTCCGTAAAAGGCGACTATGCTTGTCGTACGAGGCGACTTACGGGAAAGGGTGGTCAGTCTCGCTGACTTGGTTGATGCATGTCATCGTATCCCGATTGCGTGGATCGATGTGCATGATGTCACTGGATTGCCTGGTCCAGACCTGAATATTTACAAGCCACTATGATGTAGCTGGAATATTGTAGACTGCTGCTGAAGCTGGGCCTCTTTGCTTGTCATATGAGATGACTAATGTTGGATTGGGTGGTGACATCCTATGACTTGAATGATTGTGCACCATCCTGCCCAAACTGAATGAGGCGACATTGCTTGTCGTAAGAGGCCATTAGCTTGTCGTAAGAGGCGTCTAACGGGATAAAGTGGTCAGGCTCGCTGACTTGGTTGATGCATGGCATCATATCTTAAATGCATGGATCGATGCTCATGATGTCAATCACTGGATTGTCTGGTCCAGACTAGATTATTTACAGACTTCCATCATATAGCTGGAATATTGCTGAGTGCGGCGTTAAACAACAACAAACTGGATGGATATTGCTGCCCACTTCTAGTTTCCTGGCTTTGTTATTCAGACACTGATATGATATGAATTGACAATTACTGACTTTTACTTTTAGACAAGCGTAAGTTCAACATATGAAACTTCGCCACAACAATGTTTAACTGTATATTCTTTGGGCAGGTGGAAATTTTCTGTATAATTCTGTTTGGGAAGCAGTCTGAATAACTTTTCCTGACAAGTGAAATGTTTCTAACTGTTCTGAAAGAATTTAACTGTATATCCTCTTTTCTTGTGCATAGAGCACTTGAGTATAATTGCTTATCCTTCAGCCTGCTGAATTGTTTTAGCATAAGGTGCTGTGAAGAAGGTGGATGATTTCAAACAGTCAGTGCTTCATTTAATAAGAGCCAACTGAAGAAATATTTTGCATGTTTATTCCTGATAGAAAACTACACATTACCTTATATTGTTTTAAAAATATGCAATTTCTTCACACAGTTGTATTTTGGGAGAAAGAAGTGCACACTATACACAAGAAAATACAGTACTCACCGTCTTTGTTTGATGAGCCTAGACTTGCACAAGTCTCTGAGGAAATAACTATTAATTTAAATCATAATTTCTAGATTATGTAAATAATAAGAACAAGCTGTCCCTATAAGAGACTGGAGTCCTTTGACTGTCCACATATCTAGACTTGCCTATTAGGAGGATAGAATTACTACACATCCATGAACTTTTCTTTCGGTACAGCCTTGGAGCAAGGCTAATGATGAGCTATATCTCTCTGTTTCAGTATGATATATGTCCTGGTGTCCAACTGAGGCTGATGCTGTGCTTCGTGTATCACGGAGAGAACTGCCAGAGTTAACGCGATGCGGATGTTGACATAGAAGTGACAAGTTGTGTGTGTACAGTCATCTTGTAAGGACTGACACAAGATGGAATCACAACATGTTATCAAATTATGAAGGCAGGATATTGTGCACAGTGCACAAAGATTTGAGAATATATGGAACAGTCTGTGACTTTAACCACTAGTCCAAAGCCTATGTCTAGAAAAAGTTCTTTCGATCTTGTAAGCTTTGCTATTATAAGTCCAAGCATTAAAAACTACTGAAAATGGTGTCAAGTGAGCGGTCTGGGCCAGTAGATCTAAAGGTTTTCTGCACAGACTGTAATTGTACATTTTAAATATGTCATTTCTGTAGTGTCAAAATTGTTTGCTTGATTAATGTTACATCATCTTAGATCTTTCTTGGCTTCCATGGTTCACAATAATGGGGTACTGATACTTTAATTAACATACAAATTAAGGAAGAGAATTTATGGATGTCAACTTCTTTATTATGAGGAACAAAATGTAACAAAGAAGTCTACATCCATAAATTCCCCTCCTTATCTGTATCCCTTCTAAATGCCTTTCAAAGACTTAAGCTCAAAATTGACTAAGAAAATAAATATTGTAATGGAGATGTATGTCATATTTTGTTGATTCTCACAATTTGCAGAAAAGTGTCATTAAAATAAACCGTATGTACGACAAAGGTAGACAAGACACGCTTAAATAGTAAGCTATTTTCAGTAAAAAGGGTAAATTCCAAACTCATTTTGAGTCCTTTAAAATCCACCCCAAGTTCTGGTCTTTTGTAGATAACACTTGCTGTATAATGTTATGCTTTACAGGAACTGCCGATGTAATTATAACCTGTATGAACAAGAATTTTTATAAACTTACCATCATGTATTGTTTGTGTTGAATTGATTTCCCTTCTCCCTGTTGTACGGAGTTGGTGTCCTAGATTCATGCAGAGTGTGATCACTGGCCTGTCAACATATTTCTGTTTGTGGGGGGTAGGGATGTCAGGATATGCCTACCTCATGAGTATTGCGATGCGAAGTTGCGTCTGTTTGTGTGAAATTCTCCATTTTCCATGTGGCCACAATGGCGGCAGGTTGTTGCTCGACCAGTTTGAGGTAAGTTCACATGGCGGGTTAGCTGACATGATGAGACATCTTCCCAAGGCAGGAGAGTTAACTGACTGTGAAAGTCCAGTTTCCACCCTTTGCTGAACTAGATTATGGAGTTTTATTTGGCTGAACTAAGAGTCTGCATGGTCCAATCAAAATCGTGTAATGAAATCAACATCCGCTTCGTAAACTGACACAGATTTTGGTCGATTTTCGGTTGCAAAGCATGTGTACCTCCAGCTACAGATATTTTCCAAATCTGTTCATGTCTTTAATCAAGGTGCACAAATCATTTGATGCTCTTCGCTAGGTAAGACCCAAATATTGAAAGATCATGATAATTGATCAGATCATCTTAACAGGGGACTGCCTTTGTTTGAAGCAAGTGATATGAGAGGTGGAATCTGATTGTCAAACGGAGGAACAAAGAAGGGATAACTCGTAATACCCACTGGTATCGTGGCGCTATAATCGAGCCCAGAAGTTCCAGCCTGATGTAATTCGCCAAGGGTGGAAACTGGACTTTTACAGTCAGTTAACTCCCTTGCCTCGGGAAGATGTATTACAGTGAGTGACACCAGACTAACTCAAGCTTCATCAGCTTCACATCTTGTGATCATATGTAAATAAAGACGATGCTGTTTGTTAATCCGTGTTCTAATGTTGACGCTCTGCTTATCACAAAGTATGGAGAACGGGATGATTCTTGAGATTTCTCTCTTTTGCTCAAATGCATGTAGCTTCAATCCTAAATTCTCCCACCTACTGTAATGTACTCGTTACTTTTAAATTCTTACATATGGCTTTTGTTACATGTGTGTTTAGTGTTGTCAAATAAGAGGTAAGATTTAAGACAGGGGGCTTTGAAACTACAAATTTTATTAAAGTGCTTAATCATGTTCCTTCATGGAAGGTAGGTGTCACAGGTTATAGAACAATGGCAGGTAAGCCTGGCTTTTAAGCGACAAACATTTTGTGTTTTTATAACGCAGCCCCCGCAGCATTAAAGGTGTTCGGAAATATTCAAGTCTGGACCAGACAATACAGTGATTGATATCACTAACATTGACCGTGTAATTGGGTTAAAATGACCTAAATCAACCTAGCCTTACTACCTGATCCAATAGTCACATCATATGACAAGCTTAGAATGCGGAGGACCTTTATTCTTACCAAAGTTCTCACAGGTCTACAAAATAGATCTAAAATCCATGAACTTGATTAGCAACGAATGTCTGATTCTTACACATATTGAAAACAATAATCACTACAGAATACTAGTAGCGACAGAAAGCGTACTTGTACTTGAGAAAAGAAAAAATTGAAATCATCTCTCAAAACATTTTTCATCTGAAACCGGCCTGGTATCTTGTGACCATGGTAACCATGATGCTAGCCTTCCCAAGGACAGAGTTGGATATACAGGGAGTTATATCTTGGTTATCGCAAAGCGAATCATACTTTCTAAAAACTAATTTTTGAGAATAGATAATGGAATGTTTTCTGATTGACAAGCTGTCAGTGTCACTTGTACTAGTAGTTGGATGCATATCATGTAATTATTTACTTCTTCCAACATGACCAATGCAATTAATCAAATGTAGTTTCCAAATCAATAACACATGCTGGATGTTTAACCCTTGCTGTGTCAGGGTGTTCTGTTTATTTTTCTACTGTCTGTGTGCATGTGTGCGTAGTTCCATATCCCAGTGCTTAAAATCCATGTACTGCCAAACCAGATAATGGCTTCTGTGTTGCCCATAACCAGTGCTTTGTTGAAGAACTTGACATGAAGTTGTAATATGTCATTAATGTATTTAAACATATGTTTTGTATTGTATCGGTTGTATTGTGCTCAGCATTGTGATGGTATTTGAAGATTGTCATTTGATTTATTCGTATGAATAAATTCCAATGTGAAGGAATGTGCAATTGTTTCCTTTATGATAATAAGTTTCTTAAACACATAAATATCAGCAAATGTGGTTCTCAGGCAATGTATATCTTATGAAGGATGTCTACTGGTCAGAATTAATTTTTCCAAGATAGGTATTTTTCAAATATATTGAGCTTGGCGCTATTGTTATCTACGGTCCCAAATTCACTCTTTGATATAGAGACATATATGGAAATAACACACTATCTATCCAGTTTTGCATCGAAATATCATTAATAGTATTTAACTTTAAAATATATACCCACATTTGGATAAAACATTTAGGTATAAGAAGACATCATAATTTCTATATGTTTTAATAGCGTGCTTATTTTGTAAATGGATTAACACATGCACATTTACGTATATCCCTCAATTTCTATTATTCCGCAAGATACCATTGATGTCATTCATTGGTGTTACAAACAAGATTACAATGAGGTGATGTCTTGGTTTAAAGAATGTTGCAGCACTACACACGTTGACTTTTGCCTAAGCTATATGTGACCTGTTTTAAAACAATTTTGAAACTATTTTTGACAGTTTGACTTTTAGTCTTATCATTCTCGTCTGCATCACTTCAGTTTGGCAATAAATTGGCTTAGAATATGTCGCTAAAAACTCCTGATACGCGTCAGTTCCAACAGACATCTTTATAATACCGCCACCCCGGGTACAATTAATGTTTTTTGGTTAAACAACTAAAATCTTCTCATATGAGGTATAATGCTGATAAATTATGCGCCTGAGAAACAAAAATATTTTATTAAATTGTGCACCGTATCATGATAAATTTTTCCCATTTCCCATTTGATCCTTTGGAAAATGATGTAATAATTGTATTGATTTGGCGTAATAGCTGTAATTCAATAATGTCTTTACTGATCTTTATAAAGTGGAAATTTCATGTTTATCGAGCTAAGTAGGCACTATTCAATTTGGGAAAATTATCAGGTACAGGTTATTATTTTGTCCTTTCACATGCAGATTAATATACAGTAAGCACTGACATTTGTTCATGTACATGTTGTTTCTGTGGTTGTTATAATATCTGTTTACTCAAGGCAAAGTACACTGCACGTTTTTTATCTTTGCTTCACATGTGTGTTTTGCAGACATATACCTTTTTATTATTTTTATCATAATTTTTTTCCAGTTTTGCTATTTTCAGCTCTTTATAACTAGTTATTTTCGATCTCAGGTTTATGTTTTAGGGCTTTTTGTTATTGATTATTCACCTGGATAGTGAAACCAGTTCACAGCCCTGTCTCACAATGCTAACCCCTCTTCCCTGCCTATTTGCAACTTCCTGAGGCAAGAGAATCAACTGAAAGTTTGGCAAGGGTGGGAACTGCACTTTTTCAGTCAGTTGACTTCCTCTCCTCAGAAAGATGACGTATTTGTCTGTCTAGGTTTGTTTACAATCAAAAACTAACATTTCTGGTACTTTGACCATGTTTATGAGGTTTGTCTACTTTTTAATGAAACCTACTCCTCCAGGAATACAGGACACTTTTGGGGGATACCAACTTCTTTTCTATTCTATATGTTTCAGGGCTACTTCTTGCCCATTTACCATTAAGCATGTAGGGTTAAAATATATATATATATATTTACTCAAGGTGATTTGTTTACCATGTTTACACAAGGTATGAATAATGTACAAAGATAACAATATAATAACAAAGCAAATGATATTAACAGGAGAGAAGCCATTTGAAGATGAAGGGATGGGGCTTCCTAATTCGCTTCTCCTATCACTCACTGGCTTCATTAATATACTACTCAAAAGAAGTTAAGGATCACCAGATTCTTTCATATTGGTAGTGTTAATTTGTCATGGCATGAGAGTTTAACTATTGTAATATGGAAGAATCAGGTGATCCTTAACTTCTTTTGAGTAGTATATATTGTTATCCTTGAACATTAATTCTACTTTGTGTAAAACAAATCACCTTGTGTAAACATACATATATATATGCACCATGAAATGGTGAAACGTCATCACAAAGAACAAAAGAAGTTGTTATCCTTAAAAAGTGTCATGTATTCATGTTCTTCGTACTTTTTAATACCTATGAAAGACTTCATACTCCTACAGGTGTTTCTCAATGCCGAAACCTTGGAGGGTGTTTCATAACCCTTTACTTTACTTTGCTGGTATATTGCACACAGTGATGAATAGGAAGGTAGTAGAAAGGAATAGCATGGATAATTCTAGGGTGGGGCCTTGTGCTTTAGCCCCTAAATTTGAAAAAAGGCCCACATTTTCAAATACAATGGGGCATTTTAACATTGTGCTGTATCGGCGTACCTTTTTCACATAAAGGGCCCATGTCAGAAAATTCATAGAATGAACCCTGGAATAGGAAACAGTTGCAATACATTTTGAATAACAGAGCAATTGGTTGTCAAAAAGTACAAATCAAAATCAACACAACTTTGTTGTCATGTAGTTTGACAAATCAAGGCATGACAACTAGTTTCCTTACCTTCATATGTACCTTAATACACCTGCTGCATGTTCTGTAATGTGAATGTCAAGGTAATTGTGATCATAAAAAGACTGTGAATAAACTTCACTTTTTGTAAGGATGGACAGTGTCTGGCTGGATGCTCAGATGCTGATGGTCATGCCTGAATGAAAACCTTGTTTCTTTGAACATTAACCATGTAACCAGAAGTAGTCAAATTCTATTTTTAGGAGAGGTGCCAACTGGCATTACAATTAGTGGAAAACTTACTCTTGTTATTTTCATGGTCTGGTGTAGTCAAGTGATCAGTTCATTCTTTCTGTAGGGTGGTTACCATAGGACGTAGTTAGAGAGAGATATAATTTATCAGTATTCAGGCTGATAAAAAGTACACATATCTCAAAGGAAAGACAATTTCATATTTCTAGTCATCCTTGATCATCCAGTGTATTGTGTCTTCATCCTATGTTGATAAGTACCCTGGACCATGGTTTCATTTTGAGCCTTTTCAAATGAGTGAGTGAGTATGGTTTTACGCTGCTTTTAGCAATATTCCAGCAATATCACGGCGGGGGACACCAGAAATTGTCTTCACACATTGTACCCATGTCGGGAATCGAACCCGGGTCTTCGGCGTGACTAGCGAACGCTTTAACCACTAGGCTACCCGACCGCCTCTTTTCAAATGGCATGATGCTAAGATTAGCTGTCAAAATCAAATTGTAATTGTATGCTAAGTCAGATAAGAGCATTTGAGGTGGTACATCGTGCCAAGAAGGACGTAGTTTGTGAATGGGTTCCAGGGTATTCATCACAATAAAAGGGAGATGTGATACACTGCATAATGGAGGATTATCTGTTGTTGCACAATAATAGATTTTGTGTCCTTATCTGTGACATATGTAAACATAAACTGTAATAAGTATTTTGCCATATACAATTTACCAACATATAATACAATCTTGATTGAGACCTAAAATGGAATCTTCCTTTCTTGAAATGGGGTAATGAATATCTTCATGTGTCTGAGGTCAAGCCAAAGGTACTAAACCAGATATTACAAAGGTGCATTATTAACACATGCACAGTAAAAATAATGTTTCTTAGTCCACTTTGAATAGATTTTTGTGTTCAGGGTTTTGATTCTGTTTGTTTACCAAAAGTAACAGCTTCCCTCTGTGTGTCATTTGATGTGATATGTGTGTGTCTTCAAGATGCCTTTCTGATTAGTAAGCTTTCTGAACATTAATTCTCTGAATAATTAATTAAGCCCGAATAATGAAACCACCTTCATGGCAAATGACATTTGAACAACGCTTTTTGCAGTTTTAATAAAGAAACTTTTAAACAACAATTTGTTGGTTTTATTCCTGACCAATATGTCAGGTTGTGGTTGGGTTCTTGTAATAGGTCTTGTTGGTAAGCTGTCAATAAACGTTGGACTTTTAGCACCTATCAAGTTGTTTAGAAATTGGCTGTTCATTACTTGTCCCTCTCTGTACCAGAATTCCATAATGAACTCATTCCCGGAGAGCAAGGCTGGGTCAAGACTGTTACAATGTTTGTCCTGGATGTATGTAACCCCTGCTTCTTCTGATATCAACTGTGACTTAGCAGCAGCGTCTTTTATCAGACCCGTGAAGATTCAAGGGTAGAATAGGTCTTCATCAACCCATACGACTAACGGGATCGGGTGGTCAGGTTCGCTGACTTGGTTGATGCATTTCATCGATCCTAATAGCGTGTATCGATGCTCATGATGTCAATCACTGGATTGTCTGGTCCAGACTCGATTATTTACAGACCGCCGTCATATAGCTGGAATATTGCTGAGTGCCGCGTTACACAACAAACAAAAGCAGCATCTTTTATCATATTATTGATAGGTTTCTCAGCAGGATATAGCAAGCGGGTACAAAAAACAGTATTCGTGGAGGACATTTCTTGCAGTAGGGGTAAATATGCAAATCAAAAGGCCAAGTAGGTACTACTTTCAGTGTTTACGAAAAGACGTCGTAGCCTTGTCTATCGACCAACTACCTTGTATAGTGGATAAAGCGGAAAGTCAGTGGTTTGATCCCCTGTAATACGAGGGCTGGTTAAAAAGTGCTGAGCCTAACAAACAAAACCAACACTTGTGAAAGTGTTTTAAATGTTACTTTTCAACATTATCTCCCTGCTTTTCAATACACTTCTAATAACGATAGTGAAACTTTTGAACACCAATCAGGAAGAAGTTTTCTGAAGCCATCCTTAAAAACCCATACACGACAGCTTTGAGGTCATTGTTGTCGTCAAAGCGCTTCCACGAAGGTGTTCTTTTAGTTTAGGAAACAGATGGATATCACTTGGTGGCAGGTCTGGCGAGTATGGAGGGTGAGGAAGCTCTTCGAATCCTCATGTTTGCATAAGGAACCTTTGCAAGACGAGAGGTGTGAGAAGAGGCATTATCATGAAATCGCCGCTTTTCTCTGGTAATCGTCTTTTGACTTTTTCAGTAAACAAGGACTACATCATTTGCATCCCAGAATACTGTGGCCATAACTTTCTTCACTGATCCATAAGACTTGAATTTCTTTGTTGCCGGAGAAGTGGAATGGTACCATTCCATGGATTGACGTTTCGACTCGAGATCATAGTGGTTGACCCATGTTTCATCACCCGTCACTAATCTCTTTTTGAGCTTGACGAAATCCACCTCAATTAGCTCTAGATTGGCCCAGTCGTCTAAGGGGATTGTGGGTTCGAATCCCGGTTCGCCCCGATTATTATTTAGGTTTGTCAGCACCATACCCGTGCTCGTGGGTTTCACCGAAGTGGTACAGGTTCTACTACACCAAATCAGAACCAGTTTGGACAGTGCGGTTTTCGTAGGGAGCCTTCAGTGTAGATCGAGAGATATCTGCAGGCTGTGATTGGAGCATATTCTGTTTGGAGCAATCTCAAACAATATCAATCGCATCATGTCATGAGTGTCAAAACCATATTCCATGAATGTAGCAGACTCTGCTATGTTCTGATGATGTCAGCAAAGGAAGGCAAACAACAGACCACTACTCAATTTTTAATATGTATTGTAACTGGTTTTGAGGTTTAAAGATTTGTTCAATTTTTTTAGTCGAAAAAATATTTTAGGGTGATATGATCTATGCAGCCTCAATCATTTATAGAATTGACCCCTGACCACCATCTTTTATGAAATATAATTGAACTTCCATGGTCAGTGCATGAAGGTAAAAACTTCTTTATTAATACAGAAATACCTTTTGTAAAACATTGATGAAGTGTACATCATTAAACTCTCACAACTCTTTCTGTGCATCAAAACTATGTATTCTGGTGCCATATAGACATGCTGGATAGGAACAAGTAGTGAAGTTTAATCCAATTTCCATTTTTTTTCTGAGAAGCTACATATATATACAATATATAAATCACAGATTTGACAAGTGCAAATATATTCTGATTTGTCTACAGGTTCTACTACTCCAAATCAGTACCAGTTTGGAGAGTGCGGTTTTCGTAGGGAGCCTTCAGTGCAGATCGAGAGATATCTGCAGGCTGTGATTGGAGGATATTCTGTAAGATTTTTATGTCTTTCAAATGTACATCCATCCAGTTATTAAAACTGACCATGTTTTTCTATATTTAGTACTGTCTTTTTCAACATGATGACTTATGCTGAATGTGACCACAGCTATTTTCAAGTAGGTGACATTTGGTGCGAAACTGGGGGTGGTGTGTTTAGCTTCCGGTACTTGGAAAAGGAGCTGACTAAGCTAGTCATTTTTATTTTTTTTATTGCTGCTCTAAGGCCAAACTGTGCACACACATACATGTAATAGCTGTTGAATGCTTAGTTATTTAAAAACAAATCATAACGTTACTATAGAAGTCTATGGGAAAACATTTGGTTGTGTGTAACCTGTAGGGTGAGTGCACATTTCAGTAATTCATACTTTACATGCTTTTCTGTTTATATTTCACCATGGATACACCATGGAGGCAAATTTAAAAATAATGACAGTGAAGTTGGGGACATTTTTGGTTGAATGGAGCATTTGGATGGCCTGGAAATGAATGTTGCTTCGTATTGTGGTCGAACTCAGCACGAAAACCCCCAGGGTACCTCTGTCCAACAAGCCCTCCTCCTGCCTTCTGAATTTGTTGAAACTGATGAATTTGACAACAAATTAGGATAAAGTCACCACTGCCACAACAATTTCTGCCTTATGTCAATCGCTTGCCAGTCAAGTTACGCGATGCCGTTATCTTGAGTGTGAAGCATGTACACTGCTGACAGCAGAATATGTCACACATCCTCTTATTTACAGTAAACAATGTAGCATACCAATATATCTTTCTGTTAGGTGCTCTTGTGTGAATGAATGATGCTATTTTTCTATTACGTTTCTTAAAACAGACTTATTTTTCACTCATATGACTTTCAAATAATTATTTTGTCCCCTCAAGAACTGACTCCTGGCTGTTATATCCAAACTGGTTTGCCATTTGATATTGTCTGAACACTTTTTTCAGCTTTTCGCATGCCTGATGTTGACTGGGGAGGTATATGTGCACTCATGCAGAAGAAGTAGGAGTTTCGACATCGAATTTGGCATTTGGAGAAGCTGATCCGAAGTCTGGTGTTGGCAGTGTGTGATCGACAACCCTTGTTTTGCCTCGCTGCGCTTTGTTACCTTGTAGAAGTTGTGGAACTTGGACATGTAGGTACAGTAAGTACATTTAAGAACCCCAGTCCACTTGAGGCCCCTCTGTTGCTCACTATCAAGTGCCATAATAAGATCACCCTCATGCACTAGACATTTCTGACAGTGCTCCCTTAATGCCTCACTGTGCAGTTTTTTAGTTTGCAAACATGAAGTAAGGGCTATACACCAGTCCCAGAACCTGCTTAGATGAAAATAATATCCACTGGCTCTTTTGGAATGTAACATTATGGTTCTGAAATCATCTGTAAAGAATGTGATAGTGTTCGACAAAACTAAATTATCTCCCCTGTTTAGTAAAATGCATTGTATCTTTCATTCCCCTATAAACCCATAAATTATTGGGGAGAAACACTATTTTAAGCTGGTATTGCATGACACTGTTAATTGTGAATAAAAAGAATTACATTTATGTCAGGATAAGCTGTACATTTTAAAAATTATATGGAATTTTAACTTTGTTTCATTGAAACTGGCAAATAACTGAAATAAGCAAGTTTAGCCACCTTGAAACATTAAACAGTAAGAATGTTTGATGTCCTGTGAGTATTTTAAAGTCTTAACTAAATAAATCAATAGAGTAAAGTGTAATTTCCTTCCATGTTGTGGTTTCAAAAAGCTTTTTTCTACTTGAGGGTCCATTTCAATTTCTTGGCTTTAATAGGCGGTATGGATCACTGGTCAGTGTTTGAGATTGCTGTTAACAATGCACCCCTTTACTTCCTATTTTCTGGTAAAGTTCATTATCCAGCCTTCCATATATGATGTCTTTAAAGCTGCTTAATGTGTCCCTTGCTTATTGTTGGCCTGAATTCCATGCTCTCTGTCCAATTTTGAGATTTTTTTCTGATTCCTTTCCATGTGTACTTATGTCACCAGCCTATATCATAGATGATTATACTTTTGATTTTTGGAGTATATGAAAGCACAAACATTTGTGATAGCCCCTCCATAGATGATTTACCAAATGCTGACAGCCATTTGAGTGTTTAATTATATAAACAATGGATGGTGTAAGTTCGAGCAATCTCAAACAATATCAATTGCATCATGTCATGAGTGTCAAAACCATATTCCATGAATGTAGCAGACTCTGCTATGTTCTGATGATGTCAGCAAAGGAAGGCAAACAACAGACCACTACTCAATTTTTAATATGTATTGTAACTGGTTTTGAGGTTTAAAGATTTGTTCAATTTTTTTAGTCGAAAAAATATTTTAGGGTGATATGATCTATGCAGCCTCAATCATTTATAGAATTGACCCCTGACCACCATCTTTTATGAAATATAAATGAACTTCCATGGTCAGTGCATGAAGGTAAAAACTTCTTTATTAATACAGAAATACCTTTTGTAAAACATTGATGAAGTGTACATCATTAAACTCTCACAACTCTTTCTGTGCATCAAAACTATGTATTCTGGTGCCAAATAGACATGCTGGATAGGAACAAGTAGTGAAGTTTAATCCAATTTCCATTTTTTTTCTGAGAAGCTACATATATATACAATATATAAATCACAGATTTGACAAGTGCAAATATATTCTGATTTGTCTACAGGTTCTACTACACCAAATCAGTACCAGTTTGGAGAGTGCGGTTTTCGTAGGGAGCCTTCAGTGCAGAACGAGAGATATCTGCAGGCTGTGATTGGAGGATGTTCTGTAAGATTTTTATGTCTTTCAAATGTACATCCATCCAGTTATTAAAACTGACCATGTTTTTCTATATTTAGTACTGTCTTTTTCAACATGATGACTTATGCTGAATGTGACCACAGCTATTTTCAAGTAGGTGACATTTGGTGCGAAACTGGGGGTGGTGTGTTTAGCTTCCGGTACTCGGAAAAGGAGCTGGCTAAGCTAGTCATTTTTATTTTTTTTATTGCTGCTCTAAGGCCAAACTGTGCACACACGTACATGTAATAGCTGTTGAATGCTTAGTTATTTTTAAAAAAATCATAACGTTACTATAGAAGTCTATGGGAAAACATTTGGTTGTGTGTAACCTCAAAGGGTTAACTGATAATACGTTGATTGATTGATCATTGTTATCTATCACTCAGTGGATTTTTTAGGAACCGTGGACGTTATGAAAATAGTTGTCACGTGGGCTTTCTCAGCCGACCCTTGAGACTTGACACCTATGTGAAACACCTGAAACAATCCAAGTGACCAGTTGAGAAACGAACACGGGTTATAATATCCCGAAACGATATATACCTTTTAAAATATTTGATTGTTACAGAGACACGTGACATTGAATAAGTTTCTTTGTCCAGCTGCAGACGAGTGGGATATTGTTCCTTTGTGTGGATATTCACGGATACATTCCTCGAACAAGGAAGCTGCCTAAAATTTATACACATAAATTTGGCAGGTTGTAATTATGGTATTTGCATTTTGTTTTCCTTCATTTGAACCGATAATTCGTTCTTGTTTCTCTACGTCTTGGTTGGGAAATTCTTCAATGCGCGATAGACGTTTTCACAGGTCTTTTCCCTTGTAAGCGTGTATATATTACCGTCAATCTGTAAAATGTGATTCTCTTAGGCAATTTATAAAATGTGTAAATATTTCAGTCATTTTGACTAAAAAATCTGTCCAGATTGATTAAGACTATCAAAAGGGCCTACAAACATCACAACAGATTATTATGTAGGATTAGAAGCCAAACAACATTTTCAGTCTCTTTGTGATGACATTAAACATCAAAATGTTTGGAATTTGTTATCATAATCATAGAGATGGAAATGTTTTTCAGTCAATTTGTAAAATAACTTAATATTAAGCATGTTAAGACGTTTAATAAATATGTTACACATTTTGACAGTAAAATAATATACACACTATAAAAAAGCAATGCTCAGGTGAAATATTTACTTCATGTTGCAAGTCAAAATAGTGTAAACGAAAATCGCAAAATTACCAAGCAAGTGACTTATCAAAATTTCGTCACCATTACCGATGCTACCCACAAAGATACCTACATTTCCTTATCATCTCGAAAACTGTATTTCATTTTGTTGATCAATGCGACCATACACCCTTATTACTACTGGTATCCATAAAAGTGACTAATGCGCTTACGAATGGCGCAGCAGAGGTCGCGAACTAGTCTAGATTTCTGCTATACACAGGGAAAAAACAATAACAAAGGCAACAACCAGTCCTGGGGAACTGCGTTAGATCACTGCCCCTTTAATGCCGCTTTTAGCAGTATTCCAGTTATATCGCGACATGTCAGCTTAATGTCGGAGGAAAGCCCGAAGTGATGCAGGTCTCAGACGTTTACCACTTCGGTGAAACCCACAAGCATGGGTATGGTGCTGACAAACCGAGAAACATAATCGGGGCAAACCGCCAACCACTACAGACAAGGCTGATTCAGGAGGAAGTCCTCCATATCTCGTCAGGATGACATCTTCCACGTGTGGCAGAGATATAAAGATGGATGAAGTGTCGTTTTCACCCGAGAAATCAGTGAGGTTTTGCTGAGGTGCTGTTTTAGCCTACACCCCTGAACATCACTTGCTTGATAATGGTCTTAGAATTTACACTGAAATGTCGCTCCTAATTGTAATAAAGAAGTTGTTCATCCATCTTATCCTTACTTAGTACTAGTACCAACTAGATGCCTCTAAAAGAGGTAACACTTTGTATGTTGGCTTCAAGTGAAGATGTGATATCTTCTATATGGAAACCCGTCACCTCTACAATGTTGGAGCGCGCTTGGAGACATAATTAAACATGCGCTTCGTTATGATGTTTATTACCTTGCTAAGTAACTAATATACCAAAGTGTATAGATGGTACAGGTTGACGAAACGTGTGTAATACATGAATATGGACACATTAAGATCGGTAGTATCATGATATAACATTGCCAAAAGTATGTTAATCAGCGTAAGGCAATGGTGGAGGCACTAACAGTTCTCAATATTGACTTCTCATTGTCTGGTATTTTCTTTTGTAGGAATATTGTTCACCATGATGTTCAGAATGTCATTCTTGCCTATATTAAAGCGTGTGGCAGTTTTGATACTATATAAAATATCCAGGTACTTAGCAAACCTTTATTATGGGCAAGGTGTAAATGGGCCTAGTTGCCTGAACACCTATAAAATATTTCACTAATCAATCAGTTATAACATTTATACTAAGTTTTCATATCATAATTAGATCCACAGCCAGGGCTCTTATAAGTTATCATTTTGCAACATTGACACAAAATTTCATATAATTATAGAGCGGCAAGTAGTACATATTTATCAAGGACAATGCAGATACAAAATATTAGTAGTTTCAGTTATAGCTTTTCAGACAGATGCTAGCCTAACATGCCTAAGGTAACAAGGACACACCTCCCAGACATAATATCCAACAAGACACAAGATAGGTGTACATAGATTGCCCTGAACTATATATATCATGCATATTAGAATAACATTCAACAAATACTTCAATTTTTCATTAAGGATTAGCCCATCGACAAGCACCCAGAAGATATGTCAACAAGATTAGTGCCAGTCAAACAGGCTAAGTTATTCCCCTCTGTCTAACCATTCATAAATCATAGGGCACACTCCATTGTGTATCAACCGATCATATTCCTTTTCATTGTTCTAACTTCTAACAAATAATGGTGTGAGTAAATCTAGTATCACTATCACCCATGTTTTGTTCTGCTATTGGGCCCCCAGGTAACCCCTTGAGAATTCAGGAGGGGGCTCTTCCATACCCACATCACCTGATTAATGAACCCAGTCTAGCACAGAGCACCTAATTACTTGTTTGTCTTCAACTGGTAAATTAGGTGAAGTGGGCGAATCACGGTGAGTAGAGGGGTACGTCATGCACAATGGTTCAGCAAAGTAACTCTCAGCAATTGTTAAAACAAGTTTAAACTACAAAGTTATTAATCTGTGTTTAGTGGGGCCTATACCAGATGTTTGAACTGTAAATTATCCTTGTCTCCCACAGATATTCATGGGAATGAAACAGCAGACAGACTGGCACAGCTAGCTCTGGACAAGGCGGAGATACACCCTATTGCTTTCAGCAAACTGGAGGAAATGCAAAATCAAAGCAGAAATGACAGACAAGCCCAATGGCAAGTGAAGGTTGCAGATGGCTTTACAAAATACAAAATTGAAACCCAAATTGGAAAAAAAGCCATACCCCTACTCATCTGTAAATATGGTCAGCTCCTCAACCGTATCTTTACAGAGCAGCCAAAGTAATTACATCCATTTTTAACAGATAAATTTGTATCAGTTAGAAAAAAGAAACCATATCAAAATAAAAGCAGAAAGATGGTCTAAGAGTAACAAACTGTTCAACAGTTCAACCACACGAAACAGGCATATTCTGTATGAACAATTATATTATATTTTGTCAACATAATTATGATCTCAGAAGGGCATTACTGCCATCAATCATCTAAAGTGGGACTTGACTTTCAGTGCATATCTATATTTATTGTGATTATTTATTCTGAACTTTATTTTGTCATGGTCACTGAACAAAGGCCTTGTGGGGGCACCTCTATTGTGCGGACATGTCTTGTGTGAGAGGTTAACATGCACATTATATACAGATGATGTGAAAACCTGTCATTTTACTTTCTTTATTATGCCTGTTTGGCATTATTTTTTTTAACATTTGAACATCTATACTGCCTCAACATTTCATACAACACAAGTGCATTTGTTTTCCATCCACTATGTGGTTGTTCAAATTACACTTATTACCCCGCTCAATGGATCAGTGTGCACTTAACAATCATTCTTAGCTCCCTGGGGAGTATACAACCCAAACTGCCTTGACGTACTAGAAGGTAAAAAGTCACATTGACATCTCATCCTACCGGGTACCCATTCACAGCCTAGCTGCTGAACAACGTCGATCCAACTACTCCCCACGACCAGTGTTGCTCAACTTGACATGATTTGTGACCTGTGCGCTGTGCACAGGACCACATGCCACCAGCTCATGCATTCTGATACAGATATGATAAATGATCAATAATTATGATATTAAAAAAACTATCTTGACACCTACTTCGCATACTCTGAGATTCATGTTTTTCTTTGTGGGTCTGTCAACTGCTTGGTGGTCAATCAGAGTGTAAGCCCAGGCGTCTTCTGGATTGGCTAATTTTAAATCTCTGTGTCCCACTTTCAAACCCATTTGTTTTCACCCTGCACTTTGCATCGATACTTCACTGTGCACTGGACTGGAAGAAAGCATATACTTAAATAAAGGTTAGTAGTTAAAGTTATAATTGTATTTTATGGCAGTATAACAATGCAAATCACTTTAGTTTAATAAATGTCTATATAGATCCTTAATTATATTTAAACATGTCTTATTTACTAGTATTAGTGTGTATGGTGAGTGTATGTATACTAGATATATTTCATTTCACTATATGTGTGTCTGTGTTAATCTAGGACATTTGTGATTTCAGTAACTTGTATTTTGTATTAATTTGATAATAGTTTACATGTAATGTTCATGTGCGTACATAAACATACCTTCATGATGTATTTTATATCATGAACAGGTTTTCACGAGGGTTTTGTCATATTTACGAGGGATTGTGACCACCCAAATACACCCCAGTGGAATTCACCGGGTGTATATATATATATATATACATGTATATATATATATATATATATATATATATATATATATATATATATATATATATATATGTATATACTTATATATACTTATATATTTATTGTACCATATTTATATTGAATGTGTAAATCCATTAAACTAACATATCTAAGCATATAATCGTGAAATGTTATAAATGATATATGAAGTATAACTATAAGTGTGGTAGATTATTATTTAATCTGCTTCGATTTTGATGTACTGGATATTATTGTATGTTTATTATTGTATTGACTGTTCCAGGGTGTCGGTTTATCACGATAGAAAATAAATAATCAGACCTCACACCCTAGCCTGTGTCATTATGTTATCTGGGATACATATGCACATATTAATGGCTACAACAGTTGTAACATACTTAAAGTTGTCAATACTGGGGCTTGATTGATATGTTGATGGGTAACGCAACTGACGTTGACATTGATTCAATAGTGGCAGGAAATATCAATATAGATTGATTACCTTAGTATCCTTAAATGACTAGAATATTTGTAGGCAACTTTTAGTCTTCATCAAATTATTATTGAACCCACAAGGTTTACTCAGCACCCCCGAACATTTAACAAGTATTTTACTCTTCAGGAGCTCTTGACCCAATGGTGACCATTGCCTCGTACATGTTAATCTGAGTAGCTCTAAACCCGTTGACAAAAGTTTTAAAAGAAAGATGTATTATTAGTTTGCTTGACAAGGTGAAATTAATGTGGTATTTGTGTAAGTATAACTGTATTCTCACCCTACTGAAGGTGCCAGATACACTAACAATATTCTCAGATACAATCACCATAAGTCATTGGAGAGAACATTGTTTAAAGTAACATGCACTAGAACCTAAAGAGGTAACATAAGCTTCATGAAGTGAGTGAGTGAGTCAGTGAGTCAGTCAGTCAGTGAGTCAGTCAGTCAGTCAGTCAGTCAGTCAGTCAGTCAGTCAGTCAGTCAGTCAGTCAGTCAGTCAGTCAGTCAGTCAGTCAGTCAGTCAGTCAGTCAGTCAGTCAGTCAGTCAGATGAGATGAAATGGGGTTTAACGTCTAACGTCGCGTCCAAGATTATTGCACTTATATAGCGACGTGCATGCACATGTGTGTGTTTGTGTGGCTGCTTGTACTAGTCCGGACTGATACCGATTTATAGTGCTAGCTCACTGAGATACCATGCCGCAGTGTAACATGAATATCCCACTCAGACACAGTATACTGACTCCGAGCCGACCAGTCCTTGTTTTAGCCCCGTAATTCCGAGCGCCAGACAGGGTAACAACAAGTACCATCTTTTAACGTCTTTTGGTATGACGCGGCCAGGGATCGAACCCCGGATGCTCTACCACTAGACCACTGAGGCGGTCGAGTGAGTGAGTGAGTGAGTGAGTGAGTGAGTGAGTGCATGGTTAATGTGACTTTTGACATTAACATTATGGCAGAAGACACCAGAAATGGGCTTCACCCATTTCACACATTATACTCATTTCGGGAATTGAACCCGTCCCTGGCATGAGTGAGTGAGTGAGTGAGGTTTTACGCCGCTTTTAGCAATATTCCAGCAATATCACGGCGGGGGACACCAGAAATGGGCTTCACACATTGTACCCATGTCGGGAATCGAACCCGGGTCTTCGGCGTGACGAGCTAACGCTTTAACCACTAGGCTACCCGACCGCCCCGTCCCTGGCATGACAAGTGTACACTTTAACCCAGGGGCTACCAGGAGACACTGAGGCTGACTACAACTATTTACATTATGAAGACAACCACATCAGATCCAACTTCAACTTGTAACTTTTTCAGTGACATAAACTGTTGGAGAAAACAAAGAGTGCACATGAAATCATATACCAAATGCAGCACCAGCGTATTGTTCTCCTCCATGACAGCTGCTGGGTTTTAATAAAACTAAATGAAAGGTACCCAGAAAGGCATGCCTTGTTTTCTGTGACTATCCAATCATCCCAGTGTGCCTGCTGTATATCAGGCCCATAGAACCCATGTTGTCAGCCCACTGTAGCCAGGTGGTCGGGATGTGTGAGCTGGCTCACTGTGTGTCACTTTACCCAGTACACAGTGCTGACCTATACTGCTGGATACATCTATTGGTCATTGCTCTTATTCACAGACCACCGTCATATAGCTGGAATATTGCTGAGAGCGGCGTTAAACAACAAACAAACAAACAAAAAACAACCCAAAAACAGAATAGATATGTTAGTCTCAATGAATTGTGGAATAAGTGAGTTAAAGCCCTGGCAGGTTTACTAACAGTGCAACATTGTTTCACTAATGGCAAGGGGAGGGGGAGGAGAGGGGAGGGGAGGGGAGGCTAAGGAAGGGAAGGGAAGGGAAGGGAAGGGAAGTGTAGGTGGGGGTTGTTGTTGTGGGAAGGAAAGGAACATGCATAATTTTACTCTCTTCAATAGTCGTCGACAATGGCCCCAATCCCACAGGTGAGCTGCCCCCTTTAAATCATTGCATCTTACATGCAGGCATAATATGACATTGACACTGACAATGAACACGAGGACAAATGACAGTAGTTGGATCCATGATGGTATTTTAAATATTTAAAAAATCCCCAATATTATTTTTTTATCTCTTTGTAATGACGTGCCAATGCAGTCGACTTCTTTTCCGTCACTGTGGACGACGTTCTGAATAAATGATTGTGACATGCCGACTACACCGTTGTTTATTCGGCGTGGCAGACAGATAACAGAAACTGAAGCTGTCTCGTGTGACGGAGCACTTTTGGATTTTCTGTTTCTGCAAAGACAATTTACCTTTGCACGTGCTGCTCAATGCAACCTAAATATAACCTACCTACACCATGTGAAAAGAACTCTTCATATTCCTCTCTGGGATAATAAGCAATGGGCGACTTTAGGTGACAGGCGCAAGGGAGCAATGGCTGCAAGGAAGTCGTACAATTCTGATTGGAAGGGAATGAACGCAATAGGACGTTTGCAGCGTTATGATGACCCCTAAACAGAGAACTAGATACATCTTAGGAAAAACGACAAGGACCCAGACCAATGTAAATAGCACGCAAGCTAGTAGTAAAGCTGTTTTGTGAATTTTGGTGAAAGGAATTCTCCCAGGTGTGGCGTATTCGTGGGCCGTCGTTGATAAAAACTAGTTCCGAAAAAATGAAAATGATCGTTCCCCGTTTTTGGATTGTCAGTAGTGTATGGAACATTCTGTTGAATTATTCAGCCGCTGTTATTTGTCCAAACTGTCTATATTCGCTTCTCGGCACTGTGTGAATATTTGCACTATTTTCTCTTTTCTGGGGACCATAATCAACATTCTCTTGACTATATATTTTGTCCAAGAAATGTTTAAACGTGGAGAATGAGTTCCATTTTCAGTGAAATACATTCTTTGTTGTCAGACCACGGGGCGCCAAAATTTAAAAAAAGGAGTATCGTCTTGAAACTCGGTGGGCGGGTCGGCCAGGACCCCCCGACCACGTTGACACTCAATTTTAGGATTTTTAACTATTTTCTCCAGGCCTTAGGGGCGACCGTAGTGTCAAAAGTAGGACTGGTGGCCATGGGCATGGGTGCCAAAATTTAAAAAAAGGAGTATCGTCTTGAAACTCGGTGGGCGGGTCGGCCAGGACCCCCCGACCACGTTGACACTCAATTTTAGGATTTTTAACTATTTTCTCCAGGCCTTAGGGGCGACCGTAGTGTCAAAAGTAGGACTGGTGGCCATGGGCATGGGTGCCAAAATTTAAAAAAAGGAGTATCGTCTTGAAACTCGGTGGGCGGGTCGGCCAGGACCCCCCGACCACGTTGACACTCAATTTTAGGATTTTTAACTATTTTCTCCAGGCCTTAGGGGCGACCGTAGTGTCAAAAGTAGGACTGGTGGCCATGGGCATGGGTGCCAAAATTTAAAAAAAGGAGTATCGTCTTGAAACTCGGTGGGCGGGTCGGCCAGGACCCCCCGACCACGTTGACACTCAATTTTAGGATTTTTAACTATTTTCTCCAGGCCTTAGGGGCGACCGTAGTGTCAAAAGTAGGACTGGTGGCCATGGGCATGGGTGCCAAAATTTAAAAAAAGGAGTATCGTCTTGAAACTCGGTGGGCGGGTCGGCCAGGACCCCCCGACCACGTTGACACTCAATTTTAGGATTTTTAACTATTTTCTCCAGGCCTTAGGGGCGACCGTAGTGTCAAAAGTAGGACTGGTGGCCATGGGCATGGGTGCCAAAATTTAAAAAAAGGAGTATCGTCTTGAAACTCGGTGGGCGGGTCGGCCAGGACCCCCCGACCACGTTGACACTCAATTTTAGGATTTTTAACTATTTTCTCCAGGCCTTAGGGGCGACCGTAGTGTCAAAAGTAGGACTGGTGGCCATGGGCATGGGTGCCAAAATTTAAAAAAAGGAGTATCGTCTTGAAACTCGGTGGGCGGGTCGGCCAGGACCCCCCGACCACGTTGACACTCAATTTTAGGATTTTTAACTATTTTCTCCAGGCCTTAGGGGCGACCGTAGTGTCAAAAGTAGGACTGGTGGCCATGGGCATGGGTGCCAAAATTTAAAAAAAGGAGTATCGTCTTGAAACTCGGTGGGCGGGTCGGCCAGGACCCCCCGACCACGTTGACACTCAATTTTAGGATTTTTAACTATTTTCTCCAGGCCTTAGGGGCGACCGTAGTGTCAAAAGTAGGACTGGTGGCCATGGGCATGGGTGCCAAAATTTAAAAAAAGGAGTATCGTCTTGAAACTCGGTGGGCGGGTCGGCCAGGACCCCCCGACCACGTTGACACTCAATTTTAGGATTTTTAACTATTTTCTCCAGGCCTTAGGGGCGACCGTAGTGTCAAAAGTAGGACTGGTGGCCATGGGCATGGGTGCCAAAATTTAAAAAAAGGAGTATCGTCTTGAAACTCGGTGGGCGGGTCGGCCAGGACCCCCCGACCACGTTGACACTCAATTTTAGGATTTTTAACTATTTTCTCCAGGCCTTAGGGGCGACCGTAGTGTCAAAAGTAGGACTGGTGGCCATGGGCATGGGTGCCAAAATTTAAAAAAAGGAGTATCGTCTTGAAACTCGGTGGGCGGGTCGGCCAGGACCCCCCGACCACGTTGACACTCAATTTTAGGATTTTTAACTATTTTCTCCAGGCCTTAGGGGCGACCGTAGTGTCAAAAGTAGGACTGGTGGCCATGGGCATGGGTGCCAAAATTTAAAAAAAGGAGTATCGTCTTGAAACTCGGTGGGCGGGTCGGCCAGGACCCCCCGACCACGTTGACACTCAATTTTAGGATTTTTAACTATTTTCTCCAGGCCTTAGGGGCGACCGTAGTGTCAAAAGTAGGACTGGTGGCCATGGGCATGGGTGCCAAAATTTAAAAAAAGGAGTATCGTCTTGAAACTCGGTGGGCGGGTCGGCCAGGACCCCCCGACCACGTTGACACTCAATTTTAGGATTTTTAACTATTTTCTCCAGGCCTTAGGGGCGACCGTAGTGTCAAAAGTAGGACTGGTGGCCATGGGCATGGGTGCCAAAATTTAAAAAAAGGAGTATCGTCTTGAAACTCGGTGGGCGGGTCGGCCAGGACCCCCCGACCACGTTGACACTCAATTTTAGGATTTTTAACTATTTTCTCCAGGCCTTAGGGGCGACCGTAGTGTCAAAAGTAGGACTGGTGGCCATGGGCATGGGTGCCAAAATTTAAAAAAAGGAGTATCGTCTTGAAACTCGGTGGGCGGGTCGGCCAGGACCCCCCGACCACGTTGACACTCAATTTTAGGATTTTTAACTATTTTCTCCAGGCCTTAGGGGCGACCGTAGTGTCAAAAGTAGGACTGGTGGCCATGGGCATGGGTGCCAAAATTTAAAAAAAGGAGTATCGTCTTGAAACTCGGTGGGCGGGTCGGCCAGGACCCCCCGACCACGTTGACACTCAATTTTAGGATTTTTAACTATTTTCTCCAGGCCTTAGGGGCGACCGTAGTGTCAAAAGTAGGACTGGTGGCCATGGGCATGGGTGCCAAAATTTAAAAAAAGGAGTATCGTCTTGAAACTCGGTGGGCGGGTCGGCCAGGACCCCCCGACCACGTTGACACTCAATTTTAGGATTTTTAACTATTTTCTCCAGGCCTTAGGGGCGACCGTAGTGTCAAAAGTAGGACTGGTGGCCATGGGCATGGGTGCCAAAATTTAAAAAAAGGAGTATCGTCTTGAAACTCGGTGGGCGGGTCGGCCAGGACCCCCCGACCACGTTGACACTCAATTTTAGGATTTTTAACTATTTTCTCCAGGCCTTAGGGGCGACCGTAGTGTCAAAAGTAGGACTGGTGGCCATGGGCATGGGTGCCAAAATTTAAAAAAAGGAGTATCGTCTTGAAACTCGGTGGGCGGGTCGGCCAGGACCCCCCGACCACGTTGACACTCAATTTTAGGATTTTTAACTATTTTCTCCAGGCCTTAGGGGCGACCGTAGTGTCAAAAGTAGGACTGGTGGCCATGGGCATGGGTGCCAAAATTTAAAAAAAGGAGTATCGTCTTGAAACTCGGTGGGCGGGTCGGCCAGGACCCCCCGACCACGTTGACACTCAATTTTAGGATTTTTAACTATTTTCTCCAGGCCTTAGGGGCGACCGTAGTGTCAAAAGTAGGACTGGTGGCCATGGGCATGGGTGCCAAAATTTAAAAAAAGGAGTATCGTCTTGAAACTCGGTGGGCGGGTCGGCCAGGACCCCCCGACCACGTTGACACTCAATTTTAGGATTTTTAACTATTTTCTCCAGGCCTTAGGGGCGACCGTAGTGTCAAAAGTAGGACTGGTGGCCATGGGCATGGGTGCCAAAATTTAAAAAAAGGAGTATCGTCTTGAAACTCGGTGGGCGGGTCGGCCAGGACCCCCCGACCACGTTGACACTCAATTTTAGGATTTTTAACTATTTTCTCCAGGCCTTAGGGGCGACCGTAGTGTCAAAAGTAGGACTGGTGGCCATGGGCATGGGTGCCAAAATTTAAAAAAAGGAGTATCGTCTTGAAACTCGGTGGGCGGGTCGGCCAGGACCCCCCGACCACGTTGACACTCAATTTTAGGATTTTTAACTATTTTCTCCAGGCCTTAGGGGCGACCGTAGTGTCAAAAGTAGGACTGGTGGCCATGGGCATGGGTGCCAAAATTTAAAAAAAGGAGTATCGTCTTGAAACTCGGTGGGCGGGTCGGCCAGGACCCCCCGACCACGTTGACACTCAATTTTAGGATTTTTAACTATTTTCTCCAGGCCTTAGGGGCGACCGTAGTGTCAAAAGTAGGACTGGTGGCCATGGGCATGGGTGCCAAAATTTAAAAAAAGGAGTATCGTCTTGAAACTCGGTGGGCGGGTCGGCCAGGACCCCCCGACCACGTTGACACTCAATTTTAGGATTTTTAACTATTTTCTCCAGGCCTTAGGGGCGACCGTAGTGTCAAAAGTAGGACTGGTGGCCATGGGCATGGGTGCCAAAATTTAAAAAAAGGAGTATCGTCTTGAAACTCGGTGGGCGGGTCGGCCAGGACCCCCCGACCACGTTGACACTCAATTTTAGGATTTTTAACTATTTTCTCCAGGCCTTAGGGGCGACCGTAGTGTCAAAAGTAGGACTGGTGGCCATGGGCATGGGTGCCAAAATTTAAAAAAAGGAGTATCGTCTTGAAACTCGGTGGGCGGGTCGGCCAGGACCCCCCGACCACGTTGACACTCAATTTTAGGATTTTTAACTATTTTCTCCAGGCCTTAGGGGCGACCGTAGTGTCAAAAGTAGGACTGGTGGCCATGGGCATGGGTGCCAAAATTTAAAAAAAGGAGTATCGTCTTGAAACTCGGTGGGCGGGTCGGCCAGGACCCCCCGACCACGTTGACACTCAATTTTAGGATTTTTAACTATTTTCTCCAGGCCTTAGGGGCGACCGTAGTGTCAAAAGTAG